GGCGGATGGGTACATTTGTACTTAGTTCAAATATTCACGACAATGTTTTTGAAATTAGTCGAGTCAAGTGAGACAGTTCGTCGTTACCGCACTTTTAGCAATATTCCAGTTATGTCATGGCGGGGGAACCATAAATGGGCTTCACACATTGTACTCATGTGTGGAATAGAACCGGGACTTCGCCGTGACAAGCCAATGCTTTGACCACGGGGCTACCCCACCGTCCCTGAGGCAATTAGAAACGGGGTCAGTTCCTTTATCGATGTATCAGTTGAAGCACATCGGTCCTTCATACAATCAAAACGTGACAGAAATAATTATAATTATTATTATAGAGTTTAATTGGATAGAAGTAGACGTGGACTGGCTCGAATAGCGATCAGGGATGCCGACTATTTAAGTTTTGTGCTTGATGCTGTGGAGGCATAGTACTGCTACTCGATGACCTGCTTATACGCGTGGCATTTGCCTTAAACAAAATCATTTTACAGCAATCATTTCTGCAGAACCAATACCAAGCTAGCATTGCAAGATTGCCCTATGCCATGTATGTGATGCAATGTGTGCCTCATCAGTGATATGGTATTCATATCATGAATAAAACATGTATGCTCATCATTTTGCCCACCAAACCAATTTATTTCATTTTGGGGGATATTCGAGTATTGTTGACACACTTAATGTAATTTGGAAACGTTTAGTTTCTGCTCTTCAACGAAAAAACTGACTGGTTACAGTCGCCAAAGACAAATAATTGGATTGTTATCTAGATACACCGCTATAGTGTCCTTAGCCTCCCCAGGCACATGTAACTTTAATAGGGTATTTTTTTAAATATCTACATGTGACATTGATCTCATCTTGACAAATATCTGAGATACCAGGGATGCTTAAAGAAACGTTTATTCCTCTGTCAAGTCTGTAGTCGCTGTATCAATTCCTGCAACGAGGCAGAGAAAGCATCCGATGGGGTTGACACATTACTATTGCCAGGGAAGAAGGACATGGCATCGGGGAATGGATTTCGGATTCTGTAATTCAAATACAAGTATGTCACGGTGTAAGAAAATAGCTATGATGTTTCCATGGATATGATTCCACTGATGTTTGTATATATGGTAAAACAGTAAACTACGTTTATAACGAACACGATTATAACGAACTGACCGATAAAATTAACTTATTTTTCAGTCCCGGCCATTTGTTGTATATATGCTTATAACGAACTACGGTTATTACGAACTAAAATGAGTGGTCCCTTTGAGTTAACTGTATGTAATAAGCGGATTGTTTCGGTGCAAATAAATACCTCAGAGGAATTCACATGTCATGTAACTATTTTACTGCTCCTTACTGGAACGATATTTATAACACTCTTCATTGTTGAGCACTTGAAGAAAATGAAATCGTATAATCGTCAGGTGTGTTTGAAGCAAGATGATAATACTATTGAGATGCTCAGTTGAACAATTGTGATAACATTTGGTATTAACACAGATGATTCATCACGAATTGTTTTTAATATTGGAAAGGCAAGAAGACTCTTACATTGCTTATAGTGACTGAAATACACCGTTGGTTTGTTCACCTTTGCATGGAACTAGCAGTAATCCCCACATCACCACACTACACCCCCCTCAGTAGAAGGGGAAATGAAACTAAGGAAGAGAATTTATACATGTAGATGTCAACTTCATTATTATGAGGAACATAACCTTTCGGAGTATATGCTTACTCCTTCATCAGGTGAGAAAGCATCCTTAATTCAATCACGAAGGAGTAAGCATATACTCCGAAACATTGTGTTCCTCGTAATAAAGAAGTTGACATCCATAAATTCTCTTCCTTATGTGTATCACTTCTAAATGCTTTCCAAAGACCTGAAATGAAACTAGTCATTGAATAAAGGATGCTTTCTCACACACTACATGTCGACATTATTTTCCTTTAAACAACATTAGAACTAGTTCTACTTGAGTATGTATATGCATTATCGCGTGGTTCAGCTGCAACCTCTTGAGTCATTTCTGTGATGTCTTTAAATGTTAACTCAATAACACCCCTACGAATTTTTGTCTTATTTGTCCTTTCTCAAACGGACGTTGACGTCTGTCAAATCAGACCCCAGCACAAGCATCGTGCGGTTTAGGTTGACATTAGACGGATATACCTGCTGCGCGCATGCGTGTTAGGAGACATGTGTCGTGAGGACCGGAAGGGGCTCCTGTTGCGAACGTCCGTCATTATGAACCGCGAGCCGTTGAACCCTATCACCAGAACAATACATATCCACGTGTAGTTAATTAATCTAATGTCATATGTAGCTGTAGTGATCCACCTGGGATTAACCTTTCCCAAACCGTACCGTACTCATTCATTTACAGATACCTCTACATTCTAATACCAGTTTTACACAATGGAGAAGACGATGCTCACTGGGACCTCATTGAGGGCATCATCAGTCAGCAATATCTGCCACAGTACCACTGCATCTGTATGGCGAGTAGTGATGCAGATTGGCAGGAAAATTAACAATTTATAAAATAGACAAATTCCTCTTTAGTTATTATTTTTCAAAATAAAATAATTTCATTACAATTCTTCTTGAATTAATTATTTCTCAATATGTCATAAGAAGTGTCGCACTACCACCCTTATTCTTTAAACACGTGTTCTATTGAGATATAAATTTACCATTGCATGTTACGAGTTTTTAATTCATAAAGCAACGATTATATCATTCTTTATATTCTTTCTCAAAATGTTGCAAATTTGTCCTTATCACACGCACATAAAATACTTGTATGTTCAAAAGTACGAAAATACATTATCACATACAATGTCATGTCTTATGCATAATATTCTCTTTACGGTCTGAAAATTGAATAATCATTAGGATGGTGTGTGTGAATCATTAAAATGGTGTTGCAGTGATGTTTTTTTGTCTGGTTTGACAGCATTGAGGTTCAAGGTTTCGCGTACATGTATTATAGTAGATAACAACCATGATATCGGTTTTTCGCTAAGCGTGACTGAAGCTAAAAGAAGAAACTGTACTAAAATTAATAAACAGTAAATAATACAGAATATAACATATAGTGTTAAAAAAATTGTCCATGCGTGCACAGTAAACAAAAGATATAGACACTATGATGTTCCGTCTTTACAAACAAATACCAACGTGGCTTTGAAACTGCCTGTGGTGCACGTGTTTTGTGCGTTTGTTGATCATTATTTCTTAAATGGATGAAGTCTATAAAACCTGTAAGTGTTTTGGTTGTGTCACATGTGTCACGTGCTTACTCCTTTCGCAAACACCTGGTGTCATTATTGATATTAAGTCATGGACTCATATAATTGTACCACTATTTTGTATTTTACGCTCAGTGGTATCTATATCGGCAGATAATCAAGACTATGCCCCTGCTGTTGACTTTTCAATGTTGTGACGGGTGCTACCGGTGGTACGCTCATCTTGCCACGATCACCTGGTGTCATCACTGTTCTATACTGATTCATTAACACATGCCTATGATACAGTCGGAACCGTACAAAGGGCACTGCTTTTAGTAGAGAATTATTGTAATTATGGACAGGGTTTTGTCGCCTTGATATTTAAGTTAACACCAGAACAATACATGAACGTGTTGTCGCATACAACTTAAATAAAAACATAACGGCTAAGTATATACATAATAGCTAAAGAAACTTGTGCAAGTAACCTATTCATATTTCATAAGGACTTAACATAAATCACGTTAATATTGATTGCTTACCCCAGTACAATTATGCCTTATGATCTATAATGTATTGCACATGCTGTATAAGGATGGGATATATAAAGAAACGGATCTCGCTTACACGAGTTTATCAATCGATTAGTACATTAATGGGGTCATATAGCATGCTTCAGTTCCTTGTGCCGACTTCGGTGTACAGGAATTGATGATTAGATCTTGCATCCTTTGGAAGCAAATTAATAAATGTGATCTGGCAACGTAATTCAATAAAACATAGTGTGTACGTCTTACGTCTTGGCTAACTTTATCTTCATTCTTTGCTTCATGTTAATCAAATTCCTGTAAATTGTTTCACATGGAAATGTGTTTTGTACCGGAGCGGTGATTATTGACTTAACATGCAATCAATTGGCTTGAAGAAGAGCTTAACTAGATTGTGATGGAAATTGAAATTCTCTGGGCATTTAAAGGAATTCAAAATTCTTAACCAAATACCCACGAGGAGTGATGGATAACTGAGAACATTTAGCGGAAGCACAAAAAGCTTTGACAAATCAAGAGATGTCACAACAGGCCCAACAGCAGCAGCAGCAAATCCCAGTACGTAATCCACCATCAGAAGATATTGATTGTAAATCATCACAGTAAATTGCTGCTTAATTCCTTTTCTTCAAACCTTTGAGGATATACATTCACTGTGAGGCATGTTAGGAAGGGGCAGAAAATGTCATTTTGCCCTGTTTTACTGCCGCCCAGTTCTGATATTTCTTTAAGTAAAAATCGCGAAAATCCTATATCTGACCTTGATTCATTGAGGGCTATATTGATCTCCTCCGGCATAAGGGTCGTCTGAGAAAGCGCCGATAATCTGTCATTTGTACCGACGCGTACAACTAGAAGCGTGTTGTTAGCAGGAAACGGAAAGCATGTTGCTTAGTATTGAACTCCGTTATTGCTAAATTTAACCGTTATAATAACCCGTTGAAAATGAAACCAGGCATATACTATTCCTTATAAAATAAACATCATTCCGTGAATACTAGATGTCGCCATACTAAACACCACAGAATATCAGCAGGAACACTGTATATGTTGCAGTCTAGGATTGCATATATTCATGTCCTCATTCGAGGCGTCACATTGATGGTGTTACATGATGCAAAGTAAAACTGTAATGTTCGTTCATAAATCACATCCTCCTGGAATACCAGGGTAACGAGAGCCATCACTATTGACATGATGCACACGTTGTGTTCCTACCTTATTGAGCTCCTTGTACGTTGTTCTGTTGGCGAATATTAAGTCCACAGAAACATAGCAGCAAGTCGAAGCCGCCCCGCTTTACTCCAGGCTGAAGCACAGTTACCACTGCACACCACCACTTCTGTCGCGTTGCTCACAGAGCCAACAGCCTGCCAAAAGAAAAGGCACAATTTAGATGATATTGACCGCGCATGTCCCGCCACGCTTAGGTCCCTTTTAAGAGCTCTTCAGAGGATTGGTAGGAAAACTAGGGGCAATTAAAGTCTACATACTGATAATATTCTGGAATCAATTTTATTACTAGGGCGAGTTATCGCCCTTTAGAGGGCGACATCAGAATTGTTGGGAACCCTAGGTAGGTAATTGGAGCGTGTTAGGTAGCGCGGTATCAGCGCTGTAGCCAACTGACTAATGAGGTTAGATTCGATCACAGACCGGTCAGTGTATCGAAGGCTAATAAGCTAGCGTGAAACCGGAAGCAGCCAGCGATGACGGTGTTAGCGGTGTGTAGATACAGGCGAGGAGGTTGTGGAAGGACCAGGGAATGTCAAGAGGTTAAACAAGTTACTATGTCTAAATTGAACAGTAATAGCGATAGATGTTAACGTCAACAAACTGTAGTGCCCCTTTGCTATGCAAAGATGCTTTGATTGGTCGTTTCAATGAGATTACAGACATTTTACTGACTTGCTTTTTTGAGGTTTCTAAATATGGCCGCCGCCAAAGAGGTAATAATTGAATTTCAGTGTGAGATGGTATAAGAAAACAACGCGAAATCTCGTCAGATATCTGTGGTTGACATCAGTGGTTGTTGACTGTCGAGTACATATATCTTGTTCACACCAGATCTTTCTAACACTGTCTAAGAACAGCGTGACTGAGAAATTCAAAGACATTAGTATCGATTTTAATGGTTACAAATACAGCAACAGTAACACAAGAAATAAGACTTCATTTTTAATGAAACCTGCTCGAGACGGCAACAACCCTCGGGCTCTTTAAAGAAAAAACATGGCGAGCTGTTTGAAAGAATGATTTGTCTCTTTGCTGTTCAGCGCCTCACGCATCAATATCCGAGCAACATTGTACATTGTACAACTGTATGTGATCGAGTATAGACCAGGCCATCCAGTGATTGATATTATGAGCAATGATATACGCATTTGGGATAAATACCAAGCATCATACTGGTCAGCGAGAATCACAACCCGGCCCGGTCCTGATAGTCGCCTCTTACGAGAAACATGGGTTGTTGAAGACCATTTCCAACCCGGATCTTTATAGTGTTTTGATGACTATTTTTGTCAATCATCCGAAAAATTCGTAAATGTCCTCGACATGTCTACCATAGCACTTTCTGAGAGCTTTACCGAGGCATTGTACCTTATGTTCCCGTGTTTCTTCCTATAGACTGACCTGCCTTTGCATGTGTTTGTGCCGGGACAGGATACTCTCACCTTTTCGCGGACACCTGTTATCAACACTTTATGTATAAACACATGCCTATGATACAGTCGGAATCGTACAGTGGACTGTGTTTAGATCAATTAAAGATGGCGGCGAATCATCGGATCCTCGTATGTAGTATAAATGGAACGGAACATTTCTAAAAGGGGTGAAAATGAAATTTGAGTCATTGTTAGATGTAAGTGGAGCACTATAGTTGAGTTTTTGAAACGTCATGCAATGTGCATGTGTGTGTAACGGCCCACTAGGTCACAGATGCTTTAGAATGGGGAGCAGAATATGAGGGATGACGTTTTGGGGTTTTTTTTGTTTTGTTTTTTAATTTGGTTTTTGTTGCATTTTTGTACAGATTGCACACGGCTACGTTTTACATTTGCAAAGATAATATACAACACATTTAACATGACTTTAAATAGGTTATGACACATGGACCAGAAATAACAGAAGCAGTCAATTTAGGAACTTAAGATGGCAGAACATTTTGAAAGGACATAGTAATTAGTATTTATAGAGTTCCTGCTGCATGAACGGAAAATTTGATATACGCTTAGTTAATCAATAATTGAATATGATGTATTTGAATAGAATCAGAATTACAGTTATTGGATCGTTATTTCTGTGACCAAGAAAATGTGCTGCCTGGAAAATTAATTCTTAATACAATTTTATCTTGAAGTTCTTGCCAGAAAGTTTTTACTTTGCAACAATCTGAAAATAGATGTGAAGCAGTTTCTTTCCAGTAAAGTTGGTTGATGAGTTCGACCTAACTCAAGTATTTCAGTTATAATGTGCCAGTTAAATAGGGGAAGAGAGGCATAGACGTTGACCACTTTGGTGAAGCCGGGCACTGCATGGTGCCAACAAACCATGTTGACACATTCAACCAACATTCAGCTGGCCCTGGCAGGGCTAAGATGCGCAACTCGCACGCCACTCATAAACCCGGCTTGATAAACAGTTTCAAATACTGGTTACTAAGAGGAAATGTAATGAAGAGAAAACTGTCGAGTCGAGCCCATCAGTAGTGTGTGGCTTATGCAACATACATGTAGTACTTTTATACTTTAATCATATTTTTATATATGGTCCACACAAGTGTGAAGAATTGTTTTACAAATATCTAACTAGTTTCTATAGCTGTATCACTTAAGACATGTAACGAGATCCAATTTCATTATTTTGCATAGGAAAAGCTGTATGTGCACATTGTCCAGCGTGTAAACATTGAACATGTCCATATGAATTTCTTATATTTGCATTGGAGCCTAGTGTCTTGTTTGAACACTGCTGATGCTAATGAAAAACTCTTTTTCAAGCCTGTGTGCTTTCCTGAGAGTGTGTGTAAGTCAGACGCCGGAAGCCAGGGCTCGGACTTCCGCTGGCGTGACGGGCTGATTCAACTCGCCTGGAAAAACACACTAGCTCATTGGATAACATCTGATAAACACTCCCAACTTTGCAAACAATCTTTTTCATTTGGTGTTCAGCTTCTTTCCGCTGACTGGCTTTTTCAGCTTGAGAAAGCCGTTCATGGAGGTAGAAGACGCGGCCACCACGCCAATCGATACTGCTGGAGTTGGCCCCGACACTCTATTGACATGGACAAGCTCGCTAAATGACGAAACACGGCGTAAAACGGCAAAATTCACCATCAAGCAGCTCTCAACATAGGATGAATACCGGGTGATGCCACGGAACCAGCAGCAAAGGAGCTCACAGATCATCAATAGAAGCACACATTTTCTTTCAATCTTCATCTCTGGTCGCACGTCTCCTTGAACAGGTCTTCTTCGATTGCCTCCTCAGATGTAACCAGTGTTTTTATGATGAAGCAGAGTATCATATTAGTGTATCACACTTCGGATGTCGAAAGGACTATAGACACGAAGCGAATGGTTCTGTTAAGTGCACAGTGATGAAACTTAGTTATGCTAAAAATGGGAGACTGCAAGGTGCATGTGTAGTAATGCCTCTCTTTAAAGGGATCTGTAACTGTAACTGGTAGTTTTTTGTGATCATGGAGCCAATGTACCAGCAAACAGAATAAATTAGCAATCACTATCTTTATACCTGTGTAAACAGCATTTAGAAAATCGATTGGATTATTATACTATCATTGAGAATGCAGACGTTTGTGAATAATAATTATCTGAAATAAATCACAAAACAAGAATTAATTTTGAAATCAGCAGTGGTAATATTGAACCATGGCATTTTAGAATCCTGCATTCTGAATTGGTCAGCCAGTGGTTCGTATTAGCAGATAAATCTTCTGTGTTTTGAGATTTGAGGTAGTCTAACTGTATATTAGATACCCCTTCCTACAATTTGTAACCGTGAGCTTATGTATGTATAATATGCGAAAGCGTATTCTCACATGGCCAGCACACGCTGTGACGTGACGAAAAGGGGACACAAACATGACATGTTTTTGACAAGTTCAAAATAAGAGATAGAAAATCCATAGACATATATGACTGAATTTCATCGCAGCCTGTTGCATCCTTCCACTGTTTGGTCTCTTCTACTGTAGAGTTGACAGGTCATGGAAACAGTGACAAAAACGCTGGAAACTCCGCAATAAGCTGAAGACACGAGAGCGTCTGGGAGATTGTCGCTTTTTGTGACCGATGATTGTGTCGCCCTGACACAGTGGTGTGTGTTTTTGACGCAATTGTGTGTATTCTAAAATATAATATTTATCATAATTGGTCTGAGGTCGAACGTTTTCAGTTCTAACGGGTTATCGGCAGCCATTGTTATATCAGCCATGCGCTGGCTGTCGATAGACCGATGTTTGCATACGAAAGTTTTTCTTTTGAAAAGGCATGTCAAAAGGAGTGCAATTATATACCAGATTTAATCTTATTTTGGCGAATTTTAATCAAGCATTCTTGCGTGTCATGATTGAATCTACGTTAGACTAGGATTTTGCTGACCGCATTAATGCGAAAGAAAATATTTGCTGAGAAGCAATTTCTTTGCAAACCCGCCCTTTATGCAAACACTGATCTTACTTTCGTTAACGTTGCTTAATAACGTGTGCTGGTTCCTACATTATTTACATCAAGTGTGGTAATATGTTTCAGGTGGAACATGTGACGAACAATTAACAGAGAATGTATTGTGAAGTTCAGTAAAACCAACACGTGTGGACTTGTGGTGCTAATCTCTCACGTCATGTCTACCGCTTCACAATGCTTAGACTTCCTGTAGAACGTTTAGACGTCATACAAGAGGTGTGTACTTAAGAACAAATCATTACAAAGGTCGCTTTATTTTCTCGGGGATTTCACTTGAAATAATGCTGCCAGGATATTTGCCTTCGTGATTTTATTGTGTCTCATTGAGGCGGTTCTATGGTCCCAATCATGGTTCGGGTGCACGAAGCAAACATATACGCAGATTGCAACAGATTGCACTGATCCCTAAAGTTGACATTTCAACTTCCCGAAAATATGAGGCTCACCCGTTGTCACCTCACTCATCATTTCCACAACAGCCAAAGACTTTGTTTTGTCATTGTGTCTCTGTAGAGTGGAGATAAATTCACTGTGTTTTCAAGTCTGTTCATGTAATCGGGGATGCCCTATACATCAACCGGAACATCAATGTGCAGACATGGTTGTTATTCTCATCAGCAACCCTTTACAGTGCCCGTGACGTTAGATGTTGCGCCCAC